GTCTTTTGGCCTTCTATTTGGTGACTTTTGGTCTTCCATATTCCCTAATATAGTGGTTGTTTAGCTTCTTTCTTTTCTTATAAATAGGAGATGTTTTGTATGTTTAAAGGGTGGTGAAAAATTATGATTTTTGGAGATAAAAACTGAGGGTTTTCTATGGAATAGCTTGCGAGCTATGTCATTCTCCTTCCTCTCCTCTCTATAGCTTGCGAGCTATACTTCGTCTAATCTTCTAACCTCTTCTTCTCTACGCAAGTATCCACCCCACCTGTATCCTTCTTCTCAACGATTGGCAAGCTCTTTTAGGTGTCTTTTATTTGTGCTTATGTTGTCAAAGTTTGTAAGGTGTTTGTGTCCAAGTTTGTAATAGCCTTTTATCTTATAAAAAGTTTATTTTTTGTCTAATTTGTCTAGTTTTTGTGAGTTCATGTATGTTTCTATTATCTAGGAAGAGTTTCTTTTGCATGCAAAAATTTGGGTCCCTTCCCAAATATTTGCTTGCATCAAGATCTCTTCTCATTAGATCTATCTTCATCACCCATGTCTTTATGAACTAGTGATAACCTGGTCTCCACACCATACTTGACAATCACAAATAATGTAACATAACGCAAAGGTCCTTGTAAAATTATAGTGCATAATGCATGACGTGACTAGTGATAACATGGTCCTCGTTCCTTTATTGAGGCTTGTAGGTGTAAGAAGGGTCCTCGTCCTTCAACATCTTGTTATTCTATATAGTTTCATAAGGTTTATCTCTAAATCATTAGAAGCTGCCTTTGTGTATTCTCCAGCTCTCATTTTTTCTGATAAAGAGATCTTCAAGTTAGCATCTCATTTCTCTTTTACTCCTACTAACAAATTTTCCAAGGGTCATGATGTGAAACAACATGCGATGGAAACAAGAACTGCTTGGGGATTTTAATATAAGATTTTTAAAGCTTTGCTAGTTATAGAATTAATGCTTACCCAAGTTAGATTTTTAGAATTATCAAGTCGAAATTAAGTAAGGCATGTGGTTACAACTAGATTAGTGGGACAATATCAAATTGACAACATAGAATTAGAGAGTAATGCTATGGGGAGAAACAATAATCCACAATTAACAAATAGAACTTTTCACCTTGGGTCTCTCACTCACTCTCTTGTTGGTGGCACTTTTAATGGAGGAAGATTGAGAGCAACCGAGCGATGCCACTAGGAGACAAATGGCGCACAAAAGCGTAGTCCGTTGGAGCGGTAGCCGGTGGCGAGTAGTCCATGGGATGACTAGTGAGCATCCAACATATTATCCTTTCTTTCTTGACGGCTATGGTGGGGGCTAAGAGGCAAATGCATGAAATCTGAAATAAAATTCAGATTTTAGTGGTTTAGGAGAGGGATTTAATTTGAATTTCAAATTAATCCAAGGGGGGAGAGAGGGGCGGCAATGGGGAGAAGATTTGGGCTGAATTTGTGGAGCTATTAAGGTGATTATGAGAGAGAGGGGGGGCCATTAAAGGGGAGGAAATGATTTCAAATTTCAGATTTTGAAATTTGAAATTAAAATCATGGAAAACTGAAATTAAACATGAGGGAGAGGGGTATTAAAGAGGTGTTTAAGTAGTGATGAGGTGGCAAGTAGAGAGAGAAATAATAGGGGGAGGTGGCCGGCCATATGGGAGAGAGAGAGAGAGGTTTGGAATTAAATAGATGGGGACCACAATTAACTAATCAAAATCTGAAATTTAAATTTCAGATTTTAATTATATCATGTAACTCACTACTTTAAAGAAAATTGGGAGGGAATTTGAATTTCAAAAAAATTGTAACTCCCTTAATTAATTCTCCAATTGAAGTGAATTAATTAGGAGAGTCATTAAAGGATGAAATTCAAATTAGCAAAGAGAAACCAAAGGGGGGCCGGCGGTATGGATCCATGGTGGCCGGCGGAAGGAGGGCTGGTGGTGGCCGGCGGGTGGCTGGATGGAGAATTGGCCGGCGGGAAGGCTTCTGCAGGCCGGCGGGTGGAGCTATGCAGGCCGTCGGTCTAGCGGGCTCCAAAGGAATCGACGGCACTAGGGGAGAGGAGGAAATTAAAAGAAAATCTGAGATTTTCTTTGGCTTTGATTTCCCTCACCTCGAATCTCTTCAAAACTCTACCTCCACGCAATAATCTTGGACTAAATCTAGAACTCACGAAGAGATCTAGTTCTCCCTTTGAACTCACTAAGAGATCAAAGGGAAATGCACTCACAAAGAGAACAAAGGAGAATATTTTTCATTTCAACAAAAACTAAAAAACTATTACAAGAGAAGGGCCATATAAATAGGCCTCACAATGACAAAGAAAAATGAAAGGCTAAAATGCCCCTTGGGCTACAATAGCAACTAACCACCCATAAGGGAAAAAACGGAAAAAAAACACAAAATCAAATAAACAACTACATAAAATGACTCAAAATAAACTCATGATCGTAGCCGTCGATCTCCGACGTCTCCTGATGGTACACGTGTCGAAAATGCTGATGATGTCCTCATCAGGTCATCTCATCATTAAGATTTTTTATAGATTTATATCTGTATTAAGATTGACTAGAGATTTTCGTTGGGCTTCTTTATTCTTATAATGTTCTAGTTAAACTATCACTAGAAGATGACTACTCAATATTTTTCTAAAGGAGATCATACTACATAGATGGTTTTTCGATGAGGACAACTAAGCAATCTCCTCATTTTGATTGTTCCGAGGCCTCGGAACAACTTGTTATTTTAGTTTGGGTTGCTTTTTTCTCAACTTCATATTCGCTACTTAACCAATCCATTGTGTTGTCTCTTGGTACAATTTTTTGGAAAATAACTCCAAGTGGATACCGCTAGAGCTATCCTCTCCAGGTCATCAGTGGTTAAGGTCCTGAAAAGAAAGAAAATTACTACCACGTTGGAGAGGAAGAATTGGATTGATTCCAGCAATCATGATTAGTGACAAGATAGAATTTAAAGACATTCTACAATATTGTTCCTCCAATAAAATTTTTTGTCACAACAAAACTGGTTCTTTCAACTCACTTGGAACTACAGAAATTCTATATTATTGATCTTAACAATCAGGATATTGGGGAAAATTCAAATGATCAAAACGTTAACTTCAAATATAGTGATCGTGGTTTCAACTACTTTTGATCTACAGTTAGGGCTGCAAATGAACCGAGTCAAGATGAATTAAGCATGTGTTTATTCATATTTGAGCTCATTTATTATCACCTTGGTCAAGTTTGGTTCAAACTCGATTCAAGCTTTTATGTTTGTGTTAAAGTTTGGCTTGTTTGAGATGATAAATGTTCATGTTTGACTTCTGTTCAGTTCAATTCATGATTAAAACAAACGAGTTTTAAGTTTTAACGAGCTCTTAATACGCTTCACTTTCCAGAAGTTATTAGTTAAACAAACGAGCCTTATCACACCTTACCGAAAACTAATTGCAAAAATCTTTTTTCGGTGATAACTACCTTGAGTTGTGATGGATTTGTGCAGCTTTGTTTCTTGATATGAAGTTAGACATCTTCTCGTGCAGCCTTTCAATTGCCTGTCATATTTGTCAATTATCAAAACAAATATTCAATAATATTGTTAGCGATAAACTTTTTTTAAGTATCAACTCACATCAGCTATATGTGCATGCCGAAGTTCAAGCCAGATAGGATCATGGTCCTCCTCCAAAAGGAACTCTTTCTTTTCAGAGGTTGACCCGGTTTTGCTAGGCACCTACATATGATAATCCTCAATGAGAAACACATCGATATAGACAATAACAAAAGAGTAAATGAAAAATAAAAAGGTGCAGAATAAATTACCTCCTGAACGTATTTGTTTCCCTCCATATTTAGTAAATCATGGCACATGGCATCATATGTCCATTCATGAATAATAGGAGCAATCTATGCAGCATGAATGAATGGATATTGACTTATTTAAGAAGGTAAAATAAAGTCACCAACCATATGGAAGAACTAAAGTGACTTTTCCAGTGTACCTGATCTACGGATCGATCTAGAATTAGTAATTCACAGGTCTCTATTTGTGGAAAATCCGGTATCTTAGCCTTATACCTGGCAAGACAGTGCCAGACAGCAGCAGCAAGCTTTGTTGGGATCAAATCACCAAGAGTTGTCATGGTAGAAGCATCTAAAGAAGACTTCGCAGCACGGTAGCGTACATAGGGAAATTCCTGAATTTCAAATATGTGAGATGAAAATCACCCTTAAAAATTATGTCATTTTTCATCCATCCTAAAAAAGGATCAAAATTACTTTAAAAAACCTCTATGCTTCATTTCAATCATTTTGATAGATAGAAATATACATAAATAATTTAGTAATATTTGTAAATTAATCTAGCCACTAAATAATTTTCTTAAGGTTTTCATGTTAATATTACTGCAGCAAACAATTGTCCTGCAGCAAATCTGTCGAATTCAATTTTTTACAGCACAAGTGATGGTCTGAGAGGGTTCAAGAAGCATATCTAAACTTAAATCACTATAATTTATATATTAATAATCAAATATAAAGCCTTAACCCTATCCCCGATCCCTCCTCATCCATTTCTCTGTAACTTTGGTTAGGGGTGGAAGAAAAAAAAGTGGCTCAATTAAGCCAGAATGGAGAAGAAAATGAGACGAATAAGAAGAATGTGGGAAAAAGAGAAGAATAAAGAAAGAAGAAGAGTGATGAGGACATGCGACCGTGAAAAGTTTATCAGAGGAACTACAGCTACGATCGAATTACTCTATTTCTGAGCATTTATTTGTATTAGATTTATTATGTGTAATTTCTCATTTTTATCGTCACTTGAGGGAGTAGGTTTATGTGACCCCATATGGCTGTTTTTTAATTTAATGTTTTATTCTATTTGTCTATTTATAGGTCTCACCTCCTCCTTGGTAGGATGATGATTATGATGAATAAAAATTTATGCACTGTGTCTAGGTGTGTTTGAGAGCCTTCAAAGTTCTTGTGAGAGCTTATGTGAAGTCCCTAGGTGAGCGAGTAGGTTTATGTGAAGCGTCTGGGCACACGGTTTATCTTTGCCTCCACCCCCATTGAGCTTGCCGCCACCGTCATCTCCTCCAAAAGCTCCAACCGACCACCTCTTTTCTCCTCTCCCCCCAAAATTTCAAATTGATTCTCTAACATTTTCTTAAATTAGCCAAACGTTAAATTCAAAAAATTTTGAAATTCAAATTCAAAATTTCCAAAGCCTCGAAATCTTTTCCCAAATTGTCAGATTATATTTGGATAGATATCTCAATCAATCAACTTGAATATTAATTGGAGATCCCAATTAATTTCCCTTCCTAAATTAGCCTAGTGTTAATTTTGAAAAATCTGAAATTCAATTTCGAAATCTACTAAAGCCTTGAAATCCTTTCCCAAATTGTTAGGTTATGTTTGGAAAGATATCTCAATCAATCAATTTGAATATTAATTGGAGATCCCAATTAATTCCCCTTCCTAAATTAGCCTAGCGTTAATTTTGAGAAATTGAATTCAAATTCAAATTCTCCTACAAGCCTTGAATTCCTTTCCTAAATTATTGGGCTATGTTTGGAAGAATATCCCCATCAACAAATCTGAGTATTTATTGGAAATCTAAATTAATTCTTCTTTCCTTAACTAGTAAGCTATAGTTGGCAACTACACTAAGACCCCAAATTAGCCCCCTAATCATCTAGTGCTTGCCACCCCCCAATTTCATGCCAGGAGCTTGTTGTTTCCCTCCCAAATCGTCCCAAAGACAGATGACTGCTAATGAAATACATGATCAATCTATTTTCCAGCCCCACTACTAGTTGTTCCAGAATTTTGCGCCCATACAGTTGATGTACAGAATTTTCAGAGACGTTATAGTGTAGTCCGGGCATGCAAGAGGGTTCGTATTGTTATCCTTTCCACATAGGCAGCCAAACGACTTCGTCGTGGTTTAGTATATTCTTCCATGTAGGTAAACTCTCTCTCTCTCTCCCCCCAACCCCCCAACCCCAATCTATCTTTTTTATCCCTCCTCAATCATGGCATCGTTTTATTGTGAAAGCTTATCTGCATAGCCCACATCAAGAGCATTGTGTGAGTGGGCCTTTGTAGAGACTAATCTATTTGTTAACTTAAGGATTGCCTCTGAAACACCACGTGAGCATGTTATTAATTAATCTGTTATTAATGGTCCTCCCATTACCATGTAATTGTTTTCATAAACTTGGTTGCCCCCTTGCATGCTGAAGTCATTACTTAAGTTCATTGTGAGGTAATAAATTGCTAAGCTCTGTTCAAGCACGCGTAATTTCCAAATCAACATCACTTGCATATATAGTTCTACATCAAAGGGTAAAAGAAGAAGAGAAAAAAGGAACAGAAAAAGAAAAGGATAAGAAGAAGAATAAGAAAAAAAAAAGAGAAGAAGAGAATTTGGGGGTCTAGCTGAGAATTCTATTAGTAATATTTTCTTTTGCAAATCGACTATAGATTTCAAGTGACGGGATTGAAGGCTTCAATAGGGAGGAATCTTTTTGAGATAAAAACAACATTTAAAGTTATTTTGTGTAAATTGAGTTATTGTTTTAGGAACTTGAATTGAATTGACAAAATCATTATTTTTAGATGTTTTCATCAAAGGATACGCTTCAAGAAATAGAAATCAGAAAATTAGCCCCGAGGAAGATCTTATAGTTCAAGTGAGATGCTCAATCTCTAATTGAGGGAGTAAACTATTCTTAGGCTTCATGTTTGTTAATTCCTATAATTCCATTGAATTACCATGCATACAAGTATATATTTATTCATATTAAGCATAAATATTATGATATTATCAGGTCTAACGCATTTATATAGAACCACATGTTTAAATAAATTAAAACATTTCTAATTAACTCGATTCATAACTTTGCTTCAACTAATATAATATTTTGAGTAAATAGATATTGACTTTTACATGTCATGTTTGTCTTTAACGCATGATTGATAACAGGTGAATATCAATGCTAAGCAATTTTAAATGTGGATGATGATGATATTAAATAAAAATAAGTCAATGATATATCATGTCATGTGAGATATGTTAGATTGTCCATAATTTATCAGAGATTGTTAGAGCCAATGGACCCATGACAACCAATCAGATTAATGTCCGAAAACTTACATTATATAACTTACTAAAAAATTAATTAACAATAATGAAAATAAAAAAAAAATGGGAGTAATTATATACAAGTAATTGATAAGTAGAGTAAACTTGATTTAACATTTGATATGTATACTTCATTTTCTTACAAATACTAATAGTCATTGCTTAATAATAAGCCTTTATTTATTTAAGTATCAAAGTCAGTTTTTATTTAAGAATTATTATTAATATAAGCTATCTTAATCTATAATTAGACATGCTCATGTTAGTTCGAAAGGCTAGCATAAATATTTTTCTTTTCTTGCATTTTTGCATCTTAGAACAGAATTGTATACCCCGCTAGCATTTAGCTCATTAGATATTATGATGACTATTTTCAGGAAAGTGAAAGGAACACTTGGGACCATTAACAAATGACTGGTTTTATCTTATACTTAATATTATGAATGAATTTAAGGTTTTGGATGTAATATAGAGAATAAAGATGTATGTAATGTAAATTAAAGATCTCTAGTAAGGATTAATTATAAATGAAGCTTCTTAGAAGCTCTGTAGTTAGTTTGATAATTTAAATTATGCACACTTTTGTATTAATGTTAATGATGGATCTCATGCTTCCGCAATGACTGAGAGTACTAAGAATTAGATGATTATGTAATGTAATGAATTTTATAACAATTTAGGTGGATAAATTTTCTACTTGATTCTTATTAGAAAATCAGAAAGGGTGCTTCTAGGAAATGTGTGTATCTAGATTGTCTATCTTAATTATGCCTCAAAGTTGATTGGAGGGGGTTAAAATGAGAGTTGTTAACCCATATCACAGTTAAACCTTTAGCAGTCAGAGTTTTTGTGTGTGTGTGTGTGTGAAAATAGCAGTCGGAGATGCATTGGCATGGACATCCAATTGTTTGGCTATCTCTCAACATTCTGAAGTACCGGGACTTCCACTAACCAACAAAGATTCGTTCTAGTGCCAAGAGAGCTGATGAAGTCCATCAAATAGATATTTCGGGAACCCATCAAAGACATTGTACCCTACCAATTGCAAACGCATTTGAGAACAACTGGACAATCAAATGTCATTATCTGGCATCTTTAACATCTTTGTAGTTATTTGTCAAGCTTATTCAAGTTATTTGTTTATTTCTTTGAATTATATTGTAAAAAGGCATTTTAAGGAGAAGCTTTCTTTCTTCAGTTCAACTATTAGTTGCTTATTTCCTTTCAAAAATTTTAATGAATGAAATCAGCTTTTGTCGCCTTGTAATTTTAGGATGAAGTTCTTTCCTACATTTAGGTTTTTATGCTTTACTTTTCATACAAATGATTCAAATGGATGTAGAAGACAAACAGAAAACCTCAAATGAACTCTACCGCCATCTCATCTTTTCCCTTATCAAACCTCCCACTAGAATAAACAGACAAATCAAATACATGCAAATTAACGATCACCTAGATGGTGAAGGTGAGACTCCAGTTATTCCAAACTTATGTGTACAATCTAAATTTAAGCCTTTAATAAAGGAAGTATGATTAGATTCTTCAAATTTAAAAATGTGGTGCTCAAGTATTTACCCTCAATGAAGCAAAAACTGTAGATATACGTGAAGCGATGTTATGGATACAGGCATTGTGAGCCTGTGAAATTTCTGCATTATCACTGAACAAATCTTCTAGAGCCCTCTCATGGCCAGTAATAAAGCCCTGCATAACACAAACAAAATATGTATCAGAAAGAACGTGATGCGGTAGGAGCCATAGGAGAGGGGGGGCGGACCCAACCGACTAGGCCAGGAGGCGCAGGTCCAACTAACCGAACCAGGAGGAATCCGGGGGGAGGGGATTCGGGCCCGCTTGTGAGGCCCAGCAAAACAGTGATTCATTACGTTAGGACGAGTAATAAGGAATGAATTATTTAGGGAAATATTTCAAATTTTAATTGTTTAGGAAGGTTTCTTAAATCATGTTTAATTTCTTAGAAAGATTTCCTAAATCATATTTAATTGTTTAAGGTTTCCTAAATTATGTTTGATTGTTTAGGAATGTTTCTTAAATTATGTTTAATTATTTAGGAAGGTTCTATTTGTGTTACTATGACTATGGCTATTTAACAGGGAGTTTATGTAGGGATTAGGGAATGAAATTACTGAGTTTATTTTTCATGTGTTTGTTGTGAGTTCCTAGCAGCATCTAAGATTTGTGGCAGAGTTGATCTATCTCTCGAATAGTAGATCAATTATATCTTGCTTTATTTTGAAGGAGAAATAAAAAAACAGTCATTATCTTTGTGTTCCTACGCTTTTCTTCTCTGTTTATTGATTTTACTTCTAAGGAACATCAAATTGGTATCAGAGCGAGGTTAAATGACAGCGAAGAAGATGGATGTGTTGGAAGGCAAGATGGAACAAATCAAGGCCAGAATGGAGGAATGATATTCCGGCATGGAAGGAATGCTCTCATCCATAGAGAACCACTTTGAAAACATGAAAGACATGATGAAGAAGATGATCGAAATGCAGTCCAAAGTCTCACCGGTAATTCCTAGGGTTAAACCAAAGGGAAAGGAAATTCCGTAAGACAATAATGAAGTGGAGAGAATTCTCCCTCAAGGACCACCACCGGGGGCTCTAATGGTGGGTGGATCAAGGTATCCCGATAGAAGGGCAGCCAGAAGGGAGGAGGTTGAACCCTTTGCGACATTCATAGAGTATTGAAAGAAGTTTGTGCTGCTGTTGGGAAGGCTGAGGGAAACTTTCGAGGAGGGTTGAAAGGGAATCTCATGAAGGGGCTAAGGAAAGACATACGAGTAGAGCTCAAGGTGTTGAGACCTAGAGGGTTGCAGGAAAAGATGGAGCTTGCTCAGAGGGTAGAAGAAAAATATCATAAGGAGAAGGCCAGCCGGAGCAACACCATGGGAAGGGCTTACAAGAATACCTGTACGACCTTGGAACCGAGGACCCAGATGTTGTTGTTTCAGAGAGATGTACCGAAAGAGAAAAGCACTAGAGTTCGTCATGAGGGTAATTTCAAGCGACTTACAGAAGCGGAGGTGCAGGATAGACGAGCAAAAGGATTATACTTCATATGTGATGAGAAATTTACACCGAGACATAGATGCAAGAAAGAACCCTTCATGTCTTGATGGTTTGCGAGGGAAAGGAGGAGAGTGGGGACAAGTTCGAGGAGATTATTAAGGAAACAACACATTTAAATCTGGACGTGGCAGAGGTGTCCCTAAACTCTGTGGTGTGATTGACTCCAAATCATAACATGAAGATTAAGGGGCAAATCGAGGAATAGCTAGTGGTGGTTCTGGTGGACAGTGGGGCTACACTTAACTTCATCTCGAATCAGGTTGTGAACCGCTTGGGGTTGCAGTTGATGAAGACTGAAGGATGTGGGAGGATGGGGATGGGTAAGATAGAGAGGAGTCGTGGAATATGCAAGGGGTGGTGATGGCATTATAGGATACTCAAGTGTTAGAAGACTTCCTTCCCCTGGATTTGGGGAGTATGGATTTGATTCTAGGAATATAGTAGTTGCAAACCATTGGGGAAATGAAGGTGGACTGGAAATCTCTGGCTAAGGAGGTTTAAGTAGAGGGGAGGAAGGTAGTGCTCTGAGGGGATGCCATCTTATGCAAAACCATGATATCACTTAAAATCATACTCAAGACAATCCATGACACAGGTCTGGGGTACTTGGTGGAGTTACAAAACATTGAAGGGGTTTAGGAACAAGAGATAGGGAAAATCTCATTGGGGGTCTAGCAGATTCTATAGCAGTTTTAGGACATATTTCGGCAACCTACCGAATTACCACCACCACGAGAGCACGAGCACGCCATCAGCCTAAAGGAGGGGACCTCTCCTATAGGAGTCAGGCCATACTGTTACCTCCATATTCAGAAAGATGAGATCAAGAGGATGATTAAGAAGATGTTGAAGCAGAAATCATTAGACCTAGTGTGAGCCTTTTCTCTAGTCTAGCTCTGTTGGTGAAGAAGAAGGATGACAGCTAGAGGTTTTGTGTATATTACAGGGCTCTCTAAAAGAGGAAACGATATTAGATAAGTTACCCACTCGAGTGATGAGTTATTTGGGGCTATAATCTTCTCCAATATTGATTTGACATCGGGATACCAACAAATAAGGATGAAGACAGCTGATATGCACAAGATGGCCTTTAGAACACATAAGGGGCACTACGAGTTCCTGGTGATTCCCTTCAGCCTCACCAATGCCCCTGCCACCTTCCAAACCCTCATTAACCGATTATTCCAGCCGCATCTCAGAAGATTTGTCTTGGCATTCTTTGATGATATCTTGATATACAACAAAACAAAAACAGACCATTGAGAACACTTGAATATTGTATTTGGTTACCTTGTGGGAATATCACTTGTTTGCCATCTCGAAAAAGTGCTCGTTCAGACAGTCACGAGTGGAGTATTTAGGACATGTGGTGTCCAGAGAAGGGCGTCAGCTGACCAATCCAAGGTTCATGTCATGGTGGACTGCCCACTTCCTAAGAACTTGAAGGAGTTGGGTGTTCTTAAAGCTCACTGGTTACTACCGAAAATTTGTAAAGGGATATGGCACTATTGTGGGACCTTTGAAAGAGCAATTAAAGAAGGATAACTTCAAATTGGGGGGTGGGGGTGGGGTGGAAGCGACACAAGCTTTCCAAAAGTTGAAGAAAGCTATGATTAGTATACTAATATTAGCACTCCTAGATTTTGGTAGACCATTTGTGGTGGAAACAGATGCATCAGGTTATTAGCTAGGAGTCGTACCATGCAGGACTGGAAGCCTATTGCATATTTCAACCAGGGCAAAGCTCAAGTCTGTGTATGAACATAAGCTGATGGTGATTGTCTAGGCTATTCAGAAGTGGCGACGCTATTTGTTGGAGAGATATTTCATAGTTAGGATAGATCATATGAGTCTAAAATATTTGTTGGAACAATGGATGGTTACTGAGGATCATCAGAAATGGCTATCCAAGTTGCATGGATATGATTTTGAGATCCAGTACCAACCAGACTTAAAAAACAAAGAAGCAGACATCTTGTCCAGGAGGGTTGAGGAGCCCAAGTTGGAAGCCTTATCAGTACCAATGATCGTAGATTGGGAAGCATTGAGGGAGAGCGAGCAGAATGAAGGCTTGAGGAAGATCAGGAAAGATTTGTTGAAGGACCCACACAGTCACCCAGGTTATGCTCTAAGGGGGGAACAATTACTCTATTAGGGAAGTTAGATTCCCAAGCTACTGCAAGAGTTTCATGGCAGTGCGATAAGGAGACATTCAGGAGTACAAAAGACATTCAGAGTTACATGGCAATGCGATAGGGGAGACATTCAGAAGTACAGAAGACATATAGCCTACCATCAACTAAGTTATAATGGGCGGGTATGCATTAGGATGTAGAAGATATGGTAGTTAGATGTAATGTATGCAGCGGCATAAGTACCTACCTATGGCACGGGACCGGGGGGGTTACTACAACCATCAGCTTTACCTGAGAAGGTTTGGGAGCAAGTGACGATGGACTTCATTGATGGTTTACCACAATCGGGGGGATATTTAGGGTTAATTGTGGTGGTAGATCGACTAGGCAAGTATGCCCATTTCATTCCGCTGAGGCATCTCGACAACACTATCTTGGTCGCCATGGTCTTCATTCAAGAGGTAGTGCACCTACAACATTCCAGGATCTATATTATCAAATAGAGACAAGATGTTCCTCAGTCATTTTTGAAAGAAGTTATTTGAGATGCAATGGACGATCATGAAAAGGAGCACGACATATCACTCACAGAAGGATGGTCAAACGGAAGTGGTCAACAGAGGGGTGGAGACATACTTGCGTTATTTTGTATCTGACACACCAAAACTATGGGCCAAATGGTTAGCATAGGCATAGTATTAGTATAATACATCTTTTCACACAGCCAAGTGGACCACCCCTTTCAGGATTTTGTATGGGAGGGATCCACCCCATCTGATGCACTATAGGCAGAGCACTACACTAGTGTCTAGTGTAGATCAATACTCGGAGGAGAGGAATATGATACTAGCAGAACTCAAAGGAAATCTACTGGGAGCTCAACAACTTATGAAAAAGAAGGCAGATGAACATAGACGGGCAGTGCAGTTCGAGCCTGATCATAGAGTTTATTTGAAACTGAGACTATACCGGCAGAAGACACTGGCCAACAGGAGTAATGAGAAGCTATCCCCGCGTTACTTCGGGCCTTAAGAGGTGACGAAGCACATTAGGGCAGTAGCTTATCGTTTGAGGTTATCAGCATCATCATCATCAATACACTCAATATTCTATGTATAACAACTAAGGCATGCTATCGAAAATCACACACCCTCTTCCTCAATATTGGAGACATAGACTGAGGACATGGAAGTGATTATGGAACCCATGGAGGTCGTGGGAATACGGCAAGGGACGATAAGAGCAAAGAAGGTCCTAGTTCGATGGAATGATCTACCTGATTATGAAGCTACGTGGGAATCTATGAGGCGATCAAGAAGATATATCATTCCTTCCACCTTGAGGACAAGGTGATTTTTTTTTTTTTTTTTTTTTTTTTTTTTGAGGGGGGGGGGGGGTAATGATACGACGGGAGCCGCGGAAGAGGGAGGGCAGACCCAACCGACGGGAGGGCTGGTCCAGCTAGAACCGGGCCAGAGGAATCAAGGGGGGATTCCGGCCCCCTTATGGGGCCTAGCAAAGATATGATTCATTATGTTAAGAGGAGGAATATGGAAGTAATTATTTAGGGAAAGATTTCCAATTTTAATTATTTAGAATGATTTTCTAAATCATGTTTAATTATTTAGGAAGATTTCCTAAATCATGTTTATTGTTTAGGAAGGTTTCCTAAATCATATTTAATTGTTTAGGAAAGTTTCCTAAATTATTTTTAATTGTTTAGGAAGGATCTATTTGTGTTACTATGGCTAGGGCTATTTAAGGTGGAGTTTGTCTAGAGTTTAAGGTATGATATTATTGAGTTTATTTTCCTAGTGTTTGTTGTGAGTTCCTAGTGGCATAAATGGTTTGTGGGAGACTTAATCTACCTCTCAAATGTAGATCAATTGTATCTTACTTTATTTTGAAGGAGAAATCAGAAAATAGTCATTATCTTTGTGTTCCTATGCTTTTCTTCTCTTTTGTTAGCTGTTTTTACTTCCAAGGCACATCAAAACGTTGGGAATCTACATTAGAGAGGAATATGATTTCTCGATCTAAACCAACTGCACCAGTATAATTTGCACAAACAATCGACATAAGGGAGCTCTAGAGCAAGCACAAAGTGGGGAAAAAGAAGAAATACTAAGGATGAATACCTGACCATCAATGGCAATATATTCCAAGTTCATCTGCAAGAATTCATTAAATAAATAAAGCAAAACATGCTGAGCAATAAATAATTAAATAGGTAAAATAGGTTTAAATGTTAATTATAATATTGACAAAATCTTAACCTCACTCAATGCAGCTATGCGAGCTAATGCACTTCCATCACTTTTGATGTGACTGACTAGTTCCTTAGAAATAGGGGAACTGAAAAAAACATATGCTCTGAAAAGAAAAATAAAATCAAATTTCAACTGGTAATTCTTTTTAGGAAATGAGCATCACTTCGAGCATAAAACTAACATCACATTGAAACTAAACTTAAATGTACCTTTTATATAAAGGTGATCTCCCTGATATATCAGACATGAATATGGTTACACTGCAAGAGAAATTGGATTTAAGGTCAGAACTGCAGTATCCGTGGATAATAACTTCTTTTTTTTTAGGAGTCAAACCCTAAACCATCACAGTGAAGGTAAGGAGCAATACCACTGGGCTACGTGCCTAGTGGACTACCACTAGAGCTGTCAACATTTGACCCGACCCGAAAATTTCGAGTTCGGGTTAGAGAATTCGACCCGTTTGTAAAACTGGGTCGGGTTCGGGTTGACCCGGAAACCCGAAATCAACCAGATTTGACCCGTTTTTAATTAATTTAAGAGAGTTTTAAAGGATTTTTATGAAATAAGTAAATGATATTTCAAAAAATTATAAACAATGTTGTCCAAATTAAATTAATTTTGATTTATTTTAAACTAATTGAAGTAAATCTTACCTTAATTTGATTTAAATTTAAATAAATTGAATTAAATAAAAAAATTTAATGAAATACACCCAAAGCGGGTCGGGTTCAGGTTGACCCGGACCCGAAGCGGGTCGGGTTCGGAAACCGACCCGTTTTGCAAAAACGGGTCTAGTTCGGGTCGAGTTGAACCCGAACCCGACCCGTGACCCGATTTTGACAGCCCTAACTACCGCTAACATTCTTTGCATTCCAATAACTATGATCATAGAGTGTAAAAGGCTTGAAGCGCAATAGAAATGGAATTATAGAAATTATACATATGCTTTCAAGAATTTAAGCATTGAAAATTATGTTTATGTCAACATTACGTAACAAGAGAACAGAAAATCAAGTTAATACTCTCCAGTTCACTCCACGGAAATCTACCTCATTCAGACGCCCATATCAAAAGAGGATAATTCTTCTGAATATTCTCAAGGCCTTTGCTTCTGAACATTTAAAAATATTGTGATATGCATTTAGATAAAGACTCAGTATTATCAAATAGTTTATCTTGCATGATTTGATTGGTTGTTTTGCTAATTTGGATAGCTTAAGTTTCTAGTCTACTTATCATTTTGACAATAAATAGCCCTTTGAATTTGCAATTAGGTATCAATGAATGAAAATCTCTTTTTTTCCTCAACTCATCTAGCATCCTTTCTCCCTCCCTACTAAGCTGCTACCATTTAAAGGTACAGTAAACTGCCAGCCACCATTTCCTTCTCTCGGTTTTTGCCACCAGGTTCGGCAGGCAAAAAGAAATCAGCACCCTTGCACCTATGGCCGCTGTCCGGATTCATCCAGAGATGTTATCAAGGCTTGTTACTGCTATTTATTGTTGTTTTAGAAATCAATAGTGATTTCAGATTCTCAAGCTGAGAAAAAATAAGGTAAGGCAAACAACAAAAGAAGAAAAGTTTGCCGATGCTTCTATGATTGATAATACTCTCTCAGTAAATTCTTTGTGCATACTAGGTTTTAAGTTTCATCCTTCGCACCAATTAAAAATCCTTTCGGGATAACCAAATCGTATTCTCATCTGGATTTTTTTTTATTAATTGTGTATCTATACATTAAAAACTCGTGTAGCGATCCCATCTATTGAGAAGCCTACAACTTTTTTATCATAATTAGGTATGACATCATAGATTTCTAGCTGTGGATATTATAAGGAATTTTCAATATAGTAAAATAAAACCTGACACCAAGAACATGGTGAGGCGAGAGAGCCTTTGGCCGGACAAGGGAAACTCATAACTTCTTCCATGTAAAAGATAGAAAGATTAGGCTTGAAACAATCACTATAGGAAAGTTGATAATTTGAGGCGGACTTTGTGACTGAAAATTTTATGTCTGAAATTGTGACGAATTTACGACGAAAATTTCGGTCGAATTATTTGTGACGGATTTGCGGCAGCAAATCCGTCACAAATCCGACGCAAACGACCTTATCTAAACCGGTTAACTGGGCCATTTTTTTCATTGGCTCATCTCATTATGGACGTACTTCGACGACCCCCTACCTCCTTTAAAGACGTTCCTTCCTAGCATCCGAAGTCACACTTCCTCGCCGTTCAGAGCTCTCGGCGCCTTCAACGAAGCTCCCCTGCCTCCTTCGATGATGTTCCTTCATGAAGCATTTGAAGTCCTCGCCATTTAAAGCTCTTGGCTCCTTTGACGATGTTCCTCAGCCTCCTTCGACAACGTTCCTTCCTGTAACATCCGAAGTCGCACTTCCTCTCAACAATGTTCCTTCCTATCCGAAGTATGCTTGCTCATTGAGAAGGTATCAATCTTTCTTCCGTCTTTCTTCATAGTGATGATGTAATAGATAGAGATGTTATTAGCAGAATTCACGTTGTATAGTTGTAGTGGAGGAATGCATCGGGCTTATTGTGTGATAGAAAAATTTCCCTCAAAGATAATTAAGGAAGACAAAGTTAGAACGTTTGAGGAATTGATTTATGATGCAACTATGCCACAATTTCAACAATATACAGAAGAATCTCCAAATAAAGAGGCACAAAACTTCTATGATTTGTTGTACGTTGTGCAACAACCAATTTGGCATGGGTGCACTACTTACTCAGAGTTATTTGTTGTGGTGAAGATGTTAAGCATAAAGACAGAAAACAATGTACACACATAATGCTTTAATAAATTCACTGACCTACTTAAGGAGACTAACCCGACAAATAATATGATTCCAACATATTTATATTGGACTAAAAAATTGGTTTCAAAACTTGGTTTAACAGATATAAAAATAGATTATTGTGTTAACAAATGCATGTTATACTATGGGAATAATTTGTCAGAGATTGCATGTCATCATTGTAATGCGCTAAGGTTTAAACCAAATTTATAATGACACACACACTCTTCTATTGCCAAATATATAATGAGCGTGTAAATGAGGCGCACAACTATCCATGCAAAATCCTCAAATAATCATTATTGCACGTATAACTTAATTTTTTTTAATTGATACAAATCTCATTGTTTGATAGTAGGAATTTATAGCCCAAGTGTGTTATGAATATTCAAAATTATAGAAGTTCAATGTATAACTGAATGTTGCATGAACGCGAGATATTAACAGATGAATTTCTGAACATAATGAATTATTTCATTCAGTCAGACTTTCAAATACCTTCCTTTATATCAGAGAAATAGTTTCGGTGTCCATGTCCAACATAATTAAGGAAGGCAAAGTTAGAACGTTTGAGGACTTGATTTATGATGCAACTATGCCACAATTTCAACAATATACAGAAGTATCCCCAAATAAAGAGGCATAAAACTTCTATGATTTATTGCACGCGATACAACAACCAATTTGGCATAGGTGCACTACTCACTCAGAGTTATTTGTTGTTGTGAAGATGTTAAGCATAAAAACATAATACAATGTACCCAGATAATGCTTTAATAAATTCACTGACCTACTTAAGGAGACTAACCCGACAAATAATATGATTCCAACAGATTTATATCGGACTAAAAAATTGATTTCAAAACTTGGTTTAACAACTATAAAAATAGATTATTATGTTAACGAATGCATGTTGTACTATGGGAATAATTTGTCAGAAATTGCATATCATCAATGTAATGCGATAAGGTTGATGTGTCAGTTAGCCGATTGTTTTACTTATCCATTAATCCCAGACTGCAACGTGTATATGCATCTATGAGCTTTGTTGAACATATGAGATGACATAAGGAACACAGCTCACAAATAGGTGTTCTAACACATCCGTCAAAAGCAAAAGCCTAGAAACACTTTGACCATACACATCCTACCTTTGCCGCAGAACCAAAGAATGTAAAATTAGGTATATGTGCAGATGGTTTTACTCTAATTAGTCAATATTCCTCACCTTACTCAGGCTAGCCCGTGATTCTCACCCCCTACAATCTTTCTCCAAAGTTGTGTATGACTACACCCTACATATTTTTGACACTTATCATTCCATACTATATCTTTTCTAAAGGAAAATTCTAAAAAATGTTGATGAGACCTGTAATGCTTTGTTATGGTGTAGAATGTTGGCCATTAGAAGAGAAGCATAATATTAAGTTAAGTGTTGCAGAGATGAGGATGATTAAATGGATGAGTGGCTTCACTCGTAGAGACAGGATACGAAACGAGCATATACGTGAAAAGGTTGAAGTAGCTCCAGTGGAAGATAAGATTAGAGAGAGTTGTCTTAGATGGTTTGGCCCCATAAAATAGCAACCTTCCGATGACTACTAAGTTGGGAAATTATATGTATTAGTATGTTGCACTAATTGACACAAACGCTATTCTATTGCCAAATATATAATGAGTGTGTAAATGTGGCGCACAACCATCCATGCAAACTCCTCAAATCATCATTATTGCACATATAACTATTTTTTAAAATTGATACAAATCTCATTGTTTGATTGTAGGAATTTATAGCCCAAATGTGTTATGAATATTCAAAATTATAGAAGTTGGATGTATAATTGAATATTGCCTGAACGCAAGATATTAACAGATGAATTTCTGAACGGAATGAATTATTTCATTCAGTCAGACTGTCAATTACCTTCCTTTATATCAGAGGAACAGTTTCGGTGTCCATGTTCCAACATAATTAAGGAAGACAAAATTAGAACGTTTGAGGACTTGATTTAAGATGCAACTATGCCACAATTTCAACAATATACAGAAGAATCCCAAAATAAGGAGGCACAAAACTTCTATGATTTGTTGCACGCTATGCAACAATCAATTTGGCATGGGTGCACTACTCACTCAGAGTTATTTGTAATTATGAAGATGTTAAGCATAAAGATAGAATACAATGCACCCACATAATGCTTTAATAAATTCACTGACCTACTTAAGGAGACTAACCCGACAAACAATATAATTCCAACATATTTATATCGGACTAAAATATTGGTTTCAATACTTAGTTTAACAGCTATAAAAATAGATTATTGTGTTAACGAATGCATGTTGTACTATGGGAATAATTTGTCAGAGATTGCATGTCATCATTGTAATTTGCTAAGTTTTAAACCAAATTCTGAGAAAAAAAAAAGCATAAGGATGTATCAGTTAGTCGATTGTTTTACTTATCCATTAATCCCAGACTGCAAAATATATATGCATATATGAGCTTTGTTGCATATATGAGATGGCATAAGGAACACATCTCACAAATACGTGTTCTAACACATCCGTCAAAAGCAAAAGCCTAGAAACACGTTGATCATACACATCCTACCTTCGTCGCAAAACCAATGAATATAAAATTAGGTTTATGTGCAGATGGTTTTACTCAATTTGTCAATCTTCCTCACCTTACTCAAGCTAGCCCATGATATTCATCCCTTACAATCTTCCTCCAAGGTTATGTATGACTACACCCTACATATTTCTGACACTTATCATTCTATATCGTATTTTTTCTTGAGGGAAGAGGTAGGAGAGATCGCTTGTAGAGGGAAGCGTATCACCCACCAACCTAGGAAGAGTCCGGGTTCGTGGTTAGCCGTATCTTTTTTTTTTCCCTATTCTTCCCCCCTTCTTTCCTCCACCATCCCACGGGTCACCTAGTTCCACCGCCGGCCCTCCCCATCTCCCCCACTTTCCTACCCGTCGGCTCATCCCACTTCCACCACCTCAAACAACCACCCCCTTCCCCACATAGTCGTCGACCCACACACCCAAATCCCCAACCCCACCTGTCGGCCCTTCCCCCAACCAAACTCCTAGCTAAAGCCGCCGGCCCCTTTGGGTTTTCCCTCCATCAATGCTTGCAATTACCTCCTTCCTAATTGGGTTTTAATATTTTAGGTAACACAATTACTTTGCAAATTCAAATCTATTTGAATTTGAAATTGTTACTTAAAATACAAATCCTATTTTAGAAAAGTTGCCAAATTTCATCCCTTTGAATTTTAAAATTAATTGGGAATTAATTAAGCCCTTCCTAATTTAATAGTCCAATTAAGGAAGTCTTGACTTTATTTCCCAAACCCCTTTCTCTCTTCCTCCATGCCGCCGGCCCCTCCTTTAGTTCCCACCTCCTAATTACTTTCCAACTTCTAGCTATTCCCCTTTGGGAAGATTTCAAATCCTCTTTCCTTATCTTTTAGCTGCCCCACCCTTTCCTAAATACACCCAAATCCTTTCCAAACAAAAGGGATTAATTGGAGAAACAATTGCTTGATTTCCCTCCACCTCTCTTCTTCTAAAATCTAAACCTAGTTCTCTTTCCACACCCTCACCCTTGGCCGGTCACATCTCTCCCTCTTTCTCTCATGAATTTTCAAGATAAACTGCTCCCTCTCAATAGGAGTCTTCAAGGGAAGTAACAACGATCATCTTCAACACCTCAACCCTTCGAAACCGATGAATGACCAATCCTGATCTTGACTCCGGATTCGTTTACGACGAGCAAAGGAACGTCGAAATTCTCCGGTCAACCTTCTTCGACGTCAACCCGGAGGTCGATAACACCGTTGAAGAATATTTGGAACGCATCATCTTCACACTTTCCGAAGCCATCGAAAAAAAACTTGCTAATGTCCAGTGGCAAATTGTTTCCGGTCATCAATAAGGGTGAACTTCTTCCCCTACTCATTTATCTTCTTAATCCGCTAATCTTGTAGGTGGTGATTCAATTGCAAGGAGTCTTGTCTCGCCCTCTGCCTCCGCTAAGTAATCATAGGATTTGAGTTTTACTTTCTATAATTCTAATCTCAATGTTAACTTAATGATTTTATTGAATAGCTACTTGATTTGCATCTTGTTGAATTTCTAAATTAATTTGGTGATGCAAGTCCTTAGCTTGTGATTTGGCCTAAGCGTAGCTACCTTTCATTTGTTTTCTATCATCGTTTAGTGGCTAATAGTTTTAATTATTATTTGATCGTATATGAAACGTGCAAGTTCTTATCGCATTCATCTAAAGCATACTTAGTCACTTGTTGGAAGAAGACTTGCTTTCTGTGTTGCTAAAGAACCCATCAACATGGAGAGACTCCAAATAGAAGGACCATTCGGTCTTACATAGAGTAAAACCTTAACATATTTGATATCATCCTGAAAATTAGGATAAGAATATAGTTGCTTAAAAAATTGGAGATTGTTCCGCTGAATTTTACTCCCTTGTTTTGTATTAAAAAAAAGGGAGATTTACATACATACCACTTAATACTATTCTATTTACATATTTAACACCTAAAACTTTAATATTACATAAATACCATCCATAGTTCATTTTCATACCAAATATGAGTGGTAGAAATGAAATATATGAGTGGTATGAAAGAAATATAAGTGGTATATTTGATATTAGAGTAATATAGGGTGGTATGCATGTAATATTAAAGTTTTAGGTGTTAGATATGTAAATAGGATGTTATAAAGTGGTATGTATGTAAATTTCCCTAAAAAAAAAAGAAGAAGTTGTACACAACTTGATAGAATATTATAGTCTAGAGCATATAAATTACTATAGTTCAAAAGTTTTATACTCTGCTTTACTTTATGATGAAAATCATACACGCTCCTGCTTCACACAATATCACTGTATTAATCCTTTTTTTCCCTTTGAAAGTATCACTGTATTAATCCTTGGCCATACTCCCGTTAGTGGTTTCATAGGGATTGTAAATTTTGATTTTCACTACTTTATGCAGAGAGGAATGGTATCCGCATCTGTTATCAGTAAATGTGATGAGGACATTGACAGATGCTACCGACATGTTTATCGACGAAGGAATCGCAGATCTACGGCCACGATTCAGCGCCTCTACTTTTGATTCAGATTTCATGACGAGTTAGTTAGTTATTTGTTGTTTTCCATTTTTTACCCATTTGGGGAGTTGTTTTGTTATTGTAGCCCAGAGGGCAATTTCGTACTTTTTTTTCATGAGTGGAGACCTATATATAGTGGTCTGTGGTCTCATATGTTGTAATTTCTTTGATGATTAATTAATTAAAATTTGATTTGCTTCTTCTTCTTCTTCTTGCATGAGAGCTAGAGAGAAAGGAGAGAGAGCTCGAGGTGAGCAAGCGCAAGACCCACCAGTCGTTGGAGGAGTCCACGGCTTGTGGTAAATTCTTCTTCTATTTTTGTTTTTCACTCATCCTCCTTCCCCTCACCACCCACCGTCTCCTTCCAAGCCCATCCCCACCCGTGGATTAATCCCTCGCACCATTTCATCCACTAGGTTCCCCACTTCAAATCCAACCACCATCAAGGCCCACCTCAACCCGACGGCAACATCTTCTCTTCCCTTTGGGCCGCCGGCCACCCTCATGATCCAAGCCATTATGATGATTCCAATCTTCATAATGACTCCCTGATTTGGGTTCTTGCAATAAAGGGAGAAGTTAGCAAGTTTGAATTTCAAAATTTGAAATTCAAAACTTTCCATATTCGCAAAAATCTAAATAAGGAAAGTTTTTTAATTTGAATCCAATAAAAATTTCATGTAGAGTGGAATTATTATTTTCCCTCCTAATTGGCCTCAACTCGTTTCGAAAGTAATTAATCTCTCCCTAATCCCCTCTCTCTCCCTATTGATGCCGCCGGCCATACAAAGGGGAAACCCCCTCTTGGTTTCCAAATGAGCCCCTCCTCTAATTAATTTTATTTTCAAATTTCAAATTGATTCCCTCCAAAATTACTCAAAATCTGAAATTAATTCCAGGTTTGGAGTAAATCTCATTCTCGTCCATCTAACCTAAGTTCTCTCACCCAAACCACCCGCCCTCTCTCTCTCTATCTTGGCCACCCCTCTTCTTGCTCCCTCCCTTGGGAAGCTTTGGTTGCTCATACTACTTGAAGCCAAGAGAAGAAGACGACGCCCTCTCCCCATCTCTTCAATGATGCATGGCCGATCCAGAGATCGATCTCGGATTCGTATTTGAGGAAGAGGGAAGAACGGATATCCTTGGGTCCCCGTACTTTGACGTTTTCTTTGGCAACGAAGAAACTATTGAAGGGTACATCAACCGCATCTCATACCAATTGATGTTGGCAATCGAAGAGCACCTTCCACCAAGTCGTTGGATCATCGTCGGCCACCCACCACCTCCCCCACCACCGGCTACCGCTCCGTCAACTAAGGTATTCGGCGCCGTCTTCCTAGTGGTAATATCTTTCTTCGTATGGTTCATCTTTCTCCGCTAAAGCCTACGAGTGATTGAGTGAGAAGGTCCTCGAGGTGAACCTCTCGTTGTTAAACATTAGATTATGTTATGTGTACTTAGCATTTACTCATTCTTGAACTTTGATTGAATTGTTTGGTTAATCACTATTGCACTTCTTTGGCCTAAGCAAGTTGATTACTTTAGATTCATAGTCTTCTTTTATGTGCTAGTAGTAAATTTTCATGAGCAAAGCTTTATTAAGTTGTCTTTCTAATTTCCAAGGTAACTTCTAGTAGTTTCACATCAAAATGTAACCATAATTTTGTGGGTCAAAGCTAGACATTTAAGTCATGGCTACAGCGACACAACTGAACATTATAATCTATGTGGATTAAACCACTACCATATCTAGAACTTACACATATTAAATATAAATATATTACACAAAAAGGAAATCAATAGTACAATAAGCAGAATAAAACCTCTACTTCCATTTACTTCATAAAGAATTAAAATTGATTAGAAAATGACAAATGCAGTGGCAGTCAACTCTATGCATATAATAAAAGTTATCTGCATGATAAAACAAGTAAAGCAGCAGACAAGCACAACATAAAGAGCAAAGAAGGAATTAGGAAACATAATTTCAAAACTTTACTTTTCTTTGGTAGGCTGAACAAAATATATGGCATCCATTGACGGCATTGGCTGCCTTCCCATGTTAATGTCTTCCATCACTTAAAGTAAAAGTGGAATAAGACCAAGTTAGATAAAGAGCGTGGGAAAAAATTAAATTCAGTCTTAAGCGAAAAACAAACTCTGGGAACGCAAAAGATGTCCAAAAACTAATAGGAAATTTTTGTTAGGAAAAAAATTTACAAAAAGTAAAATTTATTTCTTATAAACCTAAATATATAGAGCACCGTTTAAACTTGCGTGCATAAGGAAATGATGTATTCAAGACGTAAAGCTTCCCAAACATAACCAAATAATTGTCAAAATTAAAGTTGATGCCAAGCGCTGTAAGAGAACAAAGACATGACCGAATAAATCAAATCGATTTTGTTTACAAACAACATCACCATCATAATTAACTATGCTTATAATATCCAAAATAAATAAAATAAATACAAAACAAGCTTCCCAACTTACATGAAACTCCTTCCTCATGGATCGCAGACCGTTTGCAAGCACATGACATAATTTTGGTAGTAAGCTTATCCATGATGAGTACCTATAAGATTGATTATTATGATCAATCAGGTAAAAACCGAGAATTTTGCTTAGGAACAAAAAATGAATTGTCTATTAAAATCAAATTTAACAGTTAATTATCTAAAATTACAATGCTGCCCAGCTGAAGCACGATTATTCTCCGAGTACATTCTTAGGAACAAAAAAGAAATTGTCTATAAAAATTACATTTTACAGTTAATTATCTAAAATTACAATGCTGCCCAGCTGGAGCTCGATTATTCTGCGAGTAAATTCTTAGAAACAAAAAAGGAATTGTCTACAAAAATCACATTTAACGGTTAATTATCTAAAATTAAAATGCTGCCCAGCTGGAGCTCCATTATTCTGCGAGTAAATTCTTAAAAATATCATAGAATATATGAACTGGTAAGAAGGCGATCACAATGGAAAATGAAGCTATTAAAGTTCAAAATTTCTACAAAAAGGAAATCATGTTCTTAATGAAATATCTAGATCAAAGCATTTTGAAGACCAATCATGCCAAATATGGGGCTTGACTGAGTCCGTGATCCTAAGCACACAAAACGTCTGAGAAGTTTATTCCCCTGAATTTCTTCTAGTATCTTACTTACAAATTATATATTCCACTTTTGGTTTTCTCATCTACGCCAACAGGAACTACATTCGCCAGCCAGTTTTATGGACGTGATAGTCCTGGAGTTGCATCAAACAGCTTGTCACCCTTAGGAATATTATTAACTTGTTGTTTCAGATCAAACTGGACTTATGGTAAAAGGGAAAAAAAATGAAATCTTAACAGATGACATTAGACATAAGCATAAAAATAAATGGAGGGTAGAAGATTAAGGAAAACTCAATAAGAAATGCAAGGTAAGCGCCATGAGTCTAATGTTTCACTTGTATCAATTGAAACTGCATTGATATTTTGACACTTGGTGAACAGGCCAAGAAGAAGAAAAAAAATGAAACTCAGGTAAATTGCTCCTAAACCATCAACTGCTCTACTTAGGCATAGGTTATTGGTTATTAAGGTATAAATCTAGCTCCTACAATTATGTGGTCAATCTGATTGCAGTAAAATACAAGGTAAGCGCCAGGACTAGAGAACGGGCTAGTGCTGGGCCTGATGATCCCTGCTTCCAGCATTTCTCTGATCAACTTTTCTATTTCATCTTTCTGAAACTGAGGGTAACGATAAGGTCGTTGGCATGCTCCTGCTCCCTGGGTAGTGGCAACCCTAGAGGTGGTTAAAAAACCTCATAGAATTCTTGGATCAACGGTTGTACAGAGAGGGGTATGTCTCCTCCCTCCTCCAAATTTACTCCCTCCAACCTATGTAATTCCACCAGATAGCCTTCCCCCTCCTCTTGAATGGTCCTGATTAGGGATTTGAGAGAAACCCACGCCTTGGTCAGTCCCGCATCACCTTGAATCACCCTCTTTCTTCCTCCCATCACCAACTCCATCCTCAGGGTACCCCAATTGATCTTGGTTTTCCCCAAGGTCTGTAACAACTTCATCCCCAGGAAGACATCCGTACTCCCCAATTCTAGGGGTAGGAAGTCTTCCTTCACTTGGATACCCTGAATCTTCAGCACCACCCCTCTACAACTCCTCTTCCCATTTCTACCTTCCCCGTGCCCATCATCACTCCATAGCCTCTAGTATCAACTAACTCCATCCTAAGTAGCTCCACAATCTGGGTGGCAATGAAATTGTGGTTTGCCCCACTATCGATCAATTCCACAACTTCACGGTCAGCTATCTCTCCCTTCACCTTCATAGTGTGACTCGGAGTGAATCCCACTATGGAGTTAAGAGAGACTTCTGCCACATCCAGATGCATCTTTTCCTCCTCCACCTCAGAACCGCTTCCTCCTCCCTCTTCATCTTCCTCATCTTCACAAAAGAGGAGAACTTGAAGAGTTCGATCCTTGCACTTATGCCCTGGCATGTATTTTTCGTCACATCGGAAACACAGCCCCTTTGTTCTCTTCTCTTGCATTTCCTTCTCAATAAGCTTCTTGAACTCCCCCCTCCTCCAAATTTACTCCCTCCAATAAGCTTCATGAAAGAAGTTCTGAAAGAAAAAGTAACAGTTGTGCAAGCTTCATGGCCTCCCCCAGGTCCCTGGGCATCAGGACATTCACCGCTGCTCTAATCTCTACCTTTAACCCCTTCATGAAGTTCCCCTCCAGCACAGTATCGGACAAGCGCTCTACCCTGCTGGCCAGATGCTCAAATCTCTCCCAGTAGTCCGCCACAGACTCTGTTACGCTTGGACCGGTGCCAGCTAGACCGGTCCGGTTCTACGCCCGACGGTCCAAAGCCGGGCGGAACCTGTTCGCAAAAACGGTGGAAGAAGAGGCGGGCTAGGGGGAATTTGAGAGTTTCGTTGGAGGGAAATTTTGAATGAGGAGGGTGTTTTTGTAATTTGTATCTTTCCTTTTGCTTTAATTAGGGAGATGGGGGGGAAATTGGGGTTATCTTGAATTTGAATTCTATTTGAGATCTAGGGTTTGTGTGCTTGGGCTCTTGGCTTCGCCGGAGATCGTTGGAGAGTTGTTCTTCCTCTCGGATTGAAGAACAAATTGTATCTTTGTTGTTTTCTTGGTTTTCTAGTGAAATACAAGCAAGATCTTGTGTTTTTCTTCTTTTTTTCCCTATTTCCTGCTGAGTTTTCACCGAATTCCTGCTGTTTTGCTGCTATGGACAGCAGTTGGCTGCTGTATTTTTACTGGTTTGGGTTAGGAATACTTGAGAACTCAAGTATTTCCTATCAGACTCTTACTGTACTAAGGCAAAGAACTGCTCATAGAAGTCTCCTCCCCAGTCGGTTCGAAAACGCTCTATCAAACTGTCCTTGAATTCTTCCCAGCTCCTGATGGGTCTCCTATGATCTCTCCACTGGTACCAAGAGAGTGCCTTCCCTTCCAGACATAAGCCCGCTACCGATAATTTCTCCTCACCCGTTAAGCCATTAACGGCAAAGTACCTCTCCACTTTATAAATCCACCCATAGGCATCCTCCTCTTAAAAAATGGACATCAAGATCCCCCCTCTGATCTTCAAAAACAGCCCCTCGGTGTCCATAATAACCCCCCCGGTGCTCCCAACCAGCACCTCTTGGCTCCACACCTCCATAGTCTTGCCTTTCCCATATCTTCCTCCTCTCTCCTCCCACTGGAAAGGCTCCAAATGAGGTCTTCCCCTACTCCCTTCCACGATTTCCACTTCCTCCCGATGGATTTCAGAGTTTGTGTTTTTCGCTTCAGGCCAGTTTGCATCAGACGCCGCCGATTGAGTTTGAAACTCCAACATCTTCTTCATCATATCCCGTAGATCGGCCACTTGCCCTTGGAAGAAATTCTTTCCTCCACGGTCTCCTTGATTTGATTCATCGCTCCTTCAAGCCTCTCCTCCAAAGCATCCATTTTCTTAGCCGCCATCACCTACGGCTTGAATTTTTGAGAAGATCTCTATATCTGAAAAAAATTTCAGTAATTTCCTCTTTGTCGACACAAATTTTTCAGCCGCTGAAATTTGTCAAAAACAGCCCACGATTGGTCCCAAGACTTGCTCTGATACCAATTGGATAGGAAATACTTGAAATCAAGTATTTCCTAGACCAAATCAGTAGAAAACAGCAATCAAACTGCTGTTTACAGCAGGAAAACAGCCGCAAACAGTGGAAAAACAGAGAAAATAGAGAGAAAACTAAGGAGAAATCACACCAAAATATTTGATTTTAATGGTAGATGCAAGAAAAACAGCAAATATACAATAGATCCTCTATTCGAGAGGAGGATCACACTCTCCCAATCTCTAGAAAACAATCTAGAGCCCTAGCCACAAGAGAAACCCCCAAAACAGTTTCAGAAAATTCCACATACCCTTAACCCTAGCTTTTCTCCCTTAATGCATGAAATTCAAAATTAATACAAAAGAACCTAATTTCCCTTGCCGCCCCCCCCTTTTGGCTCCAAGATTGAATTTGAATATCAAGTGGACCCCACCCCTTCCTCTCTCCTAGAAGCCGCCGGCCCCCTCCTGCTGTAAACAAACCAAACCGACCCAAGGGATTGGGCCGGCTGGACCAGGACCAGTCTAACACATACAACATGAATGCTAAAACATGTATTTGGAAGGTGTTGGATACCAATCCAAGTATCCAACAACCGTATACGCCTTGGCATGCCCCTTTGGCTTTCACATGAGAACAATTCAATGAAAATCATCAGATTTTTCATGAATTTACTAAGGGGGCAGCAAACATGGGATTTTTCTTGGGTTTTAGAAACTTAAATGTGGGGTTTCTAAGGACCTAAGGCTTCAAGTGCGTCAACCACACAACATTGGCCAATAGACCTGAGCTTTGCTAAGTTTGAGGAATTTTATCTCACCGGAGCAAGTCACGGTGCAAGCTGGTTTCTTCTCTCCTTGCAAAGGCAAGAAAACAGATGAATGGAATGCGAACTTGTTGTCGAGATGTTGACTTTGCTGTCGCGAACTCGCCGGAGTCAGAATATGAGGAAGAAGAAGCTCCTTTCATACACTTGATCCCTGTTGAGCTTTGGAAGGGAGAGTACACAACAGCTTTCCCTATCTGTTGAAGGAATAAAAAAAGATAGCTGCAAGAGGTCAGTCCCAGGCTCCAACTCTCCTAGTTGAATGCAGCAAGAGATCCGTTAACTTCAAAGATATGCACGCACGAGAAAATGGGGGCTCGGCCAGCTTGTTTCAGCCCTAAGAGATGTGCATGAGCATCCTCCCGCTCCAACTCTAGCATATGGCGCAAAGCACACCCAATTTGAGGAAATCAGAGCTGTCGATTTGATTTCCCCGTTTGAGGGATTTGAATTGATTTAGAAAGTCAATTGGGCTAATATTGAACCAATTGGACTTGAATTGAGCCCGAACTGAACTCGTTTGAATCGATTTGAGTCTATTTGGTTCGATCGAGTCAATTTGATGAAATTGAACTCAAATCCGCACCGATTTGAGTCGACTTGGGTT